CTGCATGAACATCCATCAGCTCGCTCAAAACTAGCAAGCCCCCAAAAGAGCAGCAGAAACACCAGCACAGGCCACTATACCTACATGCAGTTCTGCAAAACAATACTGAACTCCCTCCAATTATGGCTAAGTTACTGCTTAGTATTCAAGATAACTTAGGATTTTTTCTAAAAGCTTTCTTCCCCATGTTTTTTTTTTTGACTGCAATGAAGCTGCACAGTACCAGGAGTGTTTTCAGAAGTCCTAGTCCTGCAGGAACGTGAGCATGTATCTAAAACATCCATATACTCTACTAATGTTTTTCACCAAACAATCTGAAATAGTCGAATCCTTGAGGCTTCCTCTTCCTCTCACCCCTCCCCCCACAAAGGAATTTCTTCCTTTTTTTTTTAAATATTATCTTATTTTTTTGAAGAAGAAACTGATGGGAAAAATTAGCTTAAAGTTTTACCTTAAAATGGTCCTCCTCCCCAAGTTTTAACTATGGGCCACTGTGGGCTTGAAAATATCTGCACACCACTGTTTTAACAAAATTCTGGGATATTTCACTATTAAAAAGCTAATTTTTTTTATCCTGGAATATAAGTTCCTTCACAGGGTCTTTTTCAGTCTCCTGTCAGCCAGATTTGTGACTCCAGGCTTGAAACAGCGAGCGTCCGTTTTCAAGATGAGAAAATACCAGAATGATAAGAAACTGAAAAGTTAAACTGTTTCAGACCTGCTTGTGCCAGTGTGAGAGATGCTTGTCTAAAATTCTATGACTTTATCTTTTACAGGTCAGTTAAGCTGGCAAAAGCCATGACAAAAAGGAAACATTTTTTCTACTTCAGGCGCTCTATCAAACAGCAGTGGTACCCTTGTTCTTAGGAAAAAAAAGAATCAAAGCTATAGGTCACTGAGCTTTATTCTTTTACTGACAAAATTTATTGTGCTAGAATTTGTTCCTGTGAGAGTCACAATCTCCTTAGCCTATTCTTACATTTTGTTTCTCTTTGAGATCCACTTCCTCAATGCAGAGGTTGCTCCGCATGCCATTCTCACCAGTTCAGTAACATCCTCTTCATGACAAGAGTTTCTGGTTCCTCACAGCTGGACGTTACGCGCATACATGGCTGATTCCAATACAATATGAAACTATTTCTGTGCAAAAACTAGATTGGTTTATTGCACGATGGGATGGACAAAGCACAGTCCTCAACAATTCTTACAAAAGTTCCTCTAGTTTTCCTCTCCCCATCCTCAAGAGAAAACACATGGACTCTCTTGATCTCATTGGCTTCACTACTGATACCCAATTTTTAACCAGAAAAATATATAACAGATTTCAGAACTCTTAAGCATGGAAGCTCTAGATTTTTGTTGTTGTCTCCATGTGTTTCTTGTAGGTATTTTTCTGCTTTTTAGGATCTCTTCTACTACTAGGTACACTCAGTGATTAATTTTAGACCCCTGTAAAATTCCTCTATATAATTTCCTACCTCTAACACCCATACTTTTTGATTCAAACTTTTGTTTTCTTAAATAGAAGAGTTACTCAGTAAAGCATATACAAATTTGGGAAGTATTAAACCATTCTACAACTGTTGTCTTCCTTATATTTTCATTTCCCTTGCCTGCTTTGTGATTTGATTACGTTTTTTTCTTTTTTTAAAATGAGTTTTTCAGACACACTCACTCCTATGGCCTCACTTTCTTACAGTAAAATACCAGATTTAACAAATCCTTTTATATCAGAAAGAGTAGAAAGCCTCAAGCCAGAAGATTAGAACAAGTCAGGGCCCATCATGGATGCTCCCATGCTAAGTTAACTGGTCACAGTATAGAAGAGTCCCATGGAAATACATAAGGAGAAAGGGGCAACCAGAGGCTAAATTCTCTGCCAGGGAAAGCCAGGCAACAGCAAGTCGGGGTCATCAGCCTCTTCTCCTACAGCCTAGAAAACGCTATACGAAGAGAAGAGGATTCACAGTGGCACCGAAGTTACAGTGAACACCAACCATCAAAACATTTTTTGTGACTGGTTTAGGTAAATGAATTTGCAAAACCACTGAAGGGAAGTCCACACAATCCTACAACCATAACCAATGCCTGTTTTCCTGCTGCAACAGAACAGCAATCCCAGAATGACATGACCAAACATTATGGAGAGGAAAATAGCGCTTAGAGAGTTAATACAATCTGACAGTTCCTTAAGGTACCATTTAATTACTGCATTAAAAAGCAATCACCAATTTCTATGTAAGCAAACCATCAATAGACAGCTGCTTACTTATATTTGAAAAATGTCCTTTCATAGGAGCATGTTTGTCTTGCATACATGACAACTAAAAATTTAGTTAATACTGGATTATTAAAAAAGTACTGGATATTGCAAATAGTTTACAAGTCAGTCCTTTAACAACAGTGCCTTCATGTGTTTATAATAGGCATTTTCTTATTTTAAAGTTAAGATTCAGCTATGTTTTACAGTTGTAATCCTGTCCTCCTACACATCCACAAGTAAATTAGGTCAATTCCAAGTTACTTGTAAAACCTCCTACACAGAAAGGAGTTTGAGATTTTAAAACATATGAAGTTTAAAATAAACAAAGTCAACCTACCAGTGTCATAAACCTTGTGAACTGTCAATTTTTTGTTCTAGCCTAATAAGGTATCCTAAAGTGGTAAGAACCAAAATGTGAGAATGACTGTCCTTGGCCAGAGGTTGCATCCACGTTGTGTTTAATAACATTTTAATAATGTTTTTTATATGTTTCCCTAATTAACTTCTAAACTTACTTCTACATTTGGCATCTGTAACATCCTGTGGCAATGAGTTCCACTATGTAATTATGTGTTGCATGAAAAAAATGTTTATTTTAAACCCACTGTTGGCTAAGAGCTAGGAGTCATCAAAACTGTGTTATAAGAAATGATGAATAATCATCCTCTCCCCATCTTCTCCATAACATTAGTAGCTTTATAATCCTCTTACATTTCTTCTGAACTCACTTCTTTTCCAAGCTGCAGAGTCCTAACCATCCTGTTCAAATACAGGTATCTCTTTCCCCATATATAACCTGGTTTATCCTTACTAAAAGAAAGGACATCTGCAATTGCTTACACTACTCCAGATTGGTCACGGATGTCATCATGATAATTGTACAGAACTATAATGTTCACAGATTTGGGGGTCTTAATATCGTGAATGGTGTAGGAGTACAAGCTGTTATTTTGCTGTTTAGCCCCTTTCACAAACTTATTAAAGCAGTAAAGATCTCCACATAGATCCCTGTAGGAGTCTACTCTTGGCTTGTGATAACTGATCTTTTATTCTTATCCTCTTTTTTCCTATCTTAAAAAGTTACTAAACTGAGAGGGCTTCTCCCTTACTTATGTGGCCATCTGGTTTCTTCAAGAAACTTTGGCAGCAGCTGTCATGGACTAGGAGGGTTAGTTCATATGGGATATATAGTTCTAACATGACCGTGAACTCACATCTGACCAATCTGCAAGCTATAATCTGTCTACAACAATCATGTTGGCTCTTCTTTATTATTTTATATTCTCCATGTACATGTTCATTTTTTGTATTTATAAACACACATCTTCTCATTTGATTCTATGACAGTTTTAATTAATTTTGATAAGGACAGAAATAAAACTTTCTGGGCTGTAGCTTCATGCAGATTATGCTACATTTCCAAATTCAGTGTTATGTATTCGAATTACTCCAGACCTGTTAGGTGTACCCTGATTAGTCCAAACAATTTGTTATTACTCATTTTAATCAGCTTGTTCTAAAAGTTCTTCCCCTAATGCTTGAATTTGAAACAGACCACATGAGACATCTCAAGTAAGATCCAGTGCAGGAACCTTCATATACCCTCCATAATTAACACAGATGCAAAAAGAGTCTTTGTAAGATTTGCTGCTAAAGATTTATCTTCTGCTTATGTTCTCACAGCACCTTGATCCTTTCACTGGGCCTGGAAACTATTAGGTCTCTTGCTTCTGATGTGCCTGAAGAATTTCTCCAAGCTCCTTCTGTGTCTGTCTTCTGGTTTTCACAGATAACTTACCAGTTACGCATTCTCCCGTTTCCCACATCTGGTTACAACTTCTACTTTGTAAAGTCTCTCTTTACCTGTTACAGATTTCCCTCCTTTGCAGTTTAACAATACTGAGTTTCGGTACCCGTCCCCCTCCCCCCCACCTTGTGATAGATGGCAGATATTTACTCCAGCATTTAATATGGTAGCTCTTGATAGCACTAAAAGCTTTATCCTTTTGGCTGTTCCTTTTAACTATTTCCTAACAAGCTTGCTCCCTGAGGTGTAGTTCTCTCCATAAGATGTTACTGCAATATACTTTATACTTGCTCTTAAAATAATGTGGAAATTGTATTCATTATGGTTACTCATGTAGGGCAGCTCAACAGTAATTTAATCTTACACTAGGTCTTGTGCACCACACATTTGCCAAGATGCTACTCCTCTTGTGAGCTGACAGCTTATTGGAACACCCAATATATTGTTCTTCACTTCTGCATTTACTGAGTCTTCAGACACGTAACAGAACCATGTAATAACAGGAAATGCTTCTTCCCTCAGAGTCTTACCTCCTTTAGCACTTCACAGTAATTTTCCATCTCATTACCATGGTCGACAGTCTAACCCTCACAGTATTTCGATCTATTTGCACACAAATTCAAACTGTAGTGTACTCTCTTATCTAGAAATACGTAGCTTTGACCGTAAACCCTAACATATAATAATGCGTCACCCAGAGTACAGTTTGCATTCTCATCTCTATATAAATGTTTGTCCTCTTGTACATCCTCTTGTACCAATTTTCTGAGATGCCAAATACGTCAATATCTGGATTTAAAACCAGTATTCCAGCTCTCATACTTAATTTTTCACATTTCAGATTTTGTCCAGAAGCCCATCTATAACTGCTACCGGTCTAATAGTCTTTTTCTTATATTTTATAAAGAAAAGCAAGCATTAAATACATACATGACGGTGTTAATCCCTGACAGTTGTTGAAACATCTGCAGACCACAACCCACAATTAAGGCTCTTCGAGTTGGAGGGTATGTTAGCATTCTGCAGATCACAGGTCCAGCTTAAAAAAAAAAACAACAACAAAAGAATACGTAATAGTTCTTAAGTGATTGCTATCAAGACAATGTTCCCAGGCATAACAGGCTTTGCACCTTAGTTTCAAACAAACTTGTATTATTTCAATTACTTTTGAACAACTTGATCATTTCAGTTCTGCTTTTCTGCACTGTACTACAAAGAAGACTTTCAGGAAGCCCAGGCAAAAAAATGAAACAATTTTTGTACAGAGTGTATACTACTGGTGGCAAATGCACAGCTCTCCTATATCATACCAACAGATTGCACATCTGCTGCAACTGAATGTACTCAAAGTTATCACAAATCATCATTGTTGTTTCCTTTCTAAAAGCTCCCACTGTTACTGAGAGGTTATGTCAGAAATGCCATTACTCACTGCTCAGATCTGGATCTTGCAGATAAAGTGTTCTCCCTAGTCCCCCAAAGACCCAGTTTCCACAAACCAGTTGCAAGTGTGGGTACTCTGAGGTATGGGATAGATCTATTCTGCACAACTGTAAGGCCAGCCAAGGGAGCATAAATTAATCTAATTTTTTCCACACCTTTGATAGCAATGGTATGAGGCTGCATTCACAAAGCAGAATACAGTTTCTCAATGAAGAGAAAACCAAAAAATTCTGGCAAACAGCAAAAGTTTTCTTCTCTGTCAGTTTTAAATTTTCAAAGTATACCATGAAAAAAATAGAAAGCTATATGATATCAGGCAAAAAATTAAAATACTTGACTCCCTTATTTACTTGAATTTCTTTCTGCCCAGAGTGGTGTTTAGGGCAGAACACAGTCTGGTGAAAAATTCTATGTTTTAGAAATCTAATCACATCTGATATACCCACTCAGAACACCTAATATAGATCACAGTATGTATAAGTCAAAATAGTTGCCATCAAAAAAAAAAAAAAAAAGGAGGTGAAGAGGATCTACATTTTTACATTTTCAAAGTCTTTCCTGAACATACAGAAAATGTTAAACATATTGATTCAGTACAAAAACCTATATGGGTCTGTTAGAGAAGAGTGATTTACATGCAAAGAGTTTCAGCTTCAGAAAGCTGACAATCTGTAAACAGTTTCACTAGTGGAACTCAAGAAGGGGGTTTAGATAACATTTTCTTCATTGAAAGATAATCAGACCTGCCCAAGAAAAACTTATTTTCATTAAAAAATTATGCTATTTCTAATTCAAATCTCAATTGTATCATCATTAACTTTGCTGCTTTATTATTAACAGCAGAATGCAGTCTGACAAATTTTCCAGCTGGTTTCCAAGTAACATTAGCATTCCTACAGTACGCAGTCCCACCTGTCCTGCCATATAGCCACATCACTACCTTCAAAATGTCTCTATTTGAGTAAAATCAACTGACAAATAGAGCCAATCTATGTATCTGGTAAGATATTCTCAAGCAAGACACATGATATCACTAGGTAGATAAGTATATCAAAGGGTTCAGTAGTCAAAGTGGCATTTCTTTGGTGGAAAACCAATAAAACCAGCACTCACTGTTAGCTAGCAGCAGTCTGGAGCTCAGACATACTCTTGGATTTCTCCTCGACTCCAAGCTTCACAAAGAAAAAAGATTTTCTAACAAATGCAACCATGAACCTTAATTCACAAACAACAGGCCTCAGGTTTTCATACTCGGCATCACACCTGAGCATAGAGGCTTTGGGCTTAAAAACCTTCATGTGGCCACTGATTCTGCAGCATCTGTTGTGAATGCAGGCTGCTGAATGCCTATGAGAGATCTTCTGTTCTTCATAAACTTCCTATAAAGTTCTTTAATGGAGTTCAAAATCCGTCTTTATCTTCGAAGGACCTTACAGCCAACCTAAATCTTGAAGTCCACCATCAATGGCTATGCTCATTGAATAAGCTGGAACTCTACAGCAGGGTCTGCTAGGAAAGGAAGCAGAAATGTCCTAAAGAACTGATGCAAAGTTTTGAACAATTCCTGATCCGCTCAGCTCTTTGATGAAAGTTATATAAAACTCTATTCACAATACGGCATTGTACAAAACAATTGGAAAGAAGGCATTAAAATGAATAGCTAGAAATTAAAGCAGCTGCTCCCACACAATGGCTTGCAACTCAGAGGGAGTCATGAACTCTCAACAAAATTTCATCACGCAAATCAGTCTGTGCGCCTGAAGTGGGGCCCTGCAGAACGTTTAAGACTATGTAGTAAAGTCTAGACCTTTACTTTAGACTTTAGACTCTTAGAGTATCCAGCCAGCTAAATTCAGTGAGTACTTGTAATTTTTTTGGACTTCTGATTTATTTTATCAGAAAAATTATGCTAAAAATCATCATACCGGTTCAAGTCAGAGATTTAAAAGTTTCACTCCAAATCTGTACCATGGCAACTACACCTATCAATAGGCATACACAAAATTAAAGGATTTTCTTTCATAAAATTCATAGCCTTCAGGTTTACAAGCCAATAAATAGAATGAAAGAAACAAAAGAAATCGTTAATCTCTATATTAAGGGAGCTTTATAAACTCCACTAAAAAAACCAAAGGACTTTGACTGTGAGGTGGCTGTTTTTAAAACAGAAAATGAGTGTGAAACTTTTAATTAAAATTATCTAGCCCTAAAACTAACTATTCTACTTTTGAATTTTGCTGTCTTCAATTCTGCCATCCATCTTTTGTGGTCTTCATATATTACAGCCTTAAAACTAAACAACTCTAGGCAAAACATGGCTGTTAACACCAGAGAATGGGTCTAAACTAAAAAATGAAACACAAAACAAGTTTCCAGAATTAAAGACATTTTTCTTCTGAAAATAAGTTTTCTGAAAACTGAAACTGTACTTCAGGAGTTTCTGATGACCGTTAAATCTGCTGTTACGTTATTACAATAGATTAAAATAGCACAAAACAATAAAATCATTAAATCCTTTAAAAGTGGAGCAACTTAATTGCTCACAGAACTAGAGGGAAACAGATGATGCAAAAGATACATCACAAAAAAATTAAGCATTTGGCAATTTTTACAGTGGACAAAACAGATATTTGTCTCCAAAAGTCAGTATTTTTGTTCATGATACTTCCGTCTTAATTGCTGTTGCTTTCTCTTCAGCTAGGAGATTTAGGAACATTCCTGCATTTGAACCACTTCATTTGAACTTGAGAAACACCAAGATGTTTGTTTTCCTCCTTCTAATCTATGAATAAAAGTGAAGTCAAAAGGATGACATCTCCTAATGTCACAATTATTTTAATGAGACTAGATTTGTTTGGACTTTTTGTGCTGTGGTTTCAGATAATTACTTTATCTGAAGTAAATTTCCTTAATGCATATGTTTACAAGGGTTCAAAATATGCTAGAGTAAAGGGCAGCTAAAGCTTGCTCTAGTAAGAGTGCAAAATGGCAGCAATAAAGAGCAATGGAAAAATAAGGATACTGCTGTTGTAGAAGGTGACATTACATGAAGTGGTGATACATAAAGTGGATTGCTGGGGTCTAACTGGCTTTTTCTTAGCCTAGTCTAAACTGTCTACCTAACTAGACATTCATCCTTCTAAGCAAAAAGCAAAAATAGAATTTGGAAGTTTGGCTTCACATCCAAAAAAACATTATTAGCTTAAAGTGAGCTAAACGGGGCGGGAGGATCTGTTCTTGTCAAATCACTACTTCTGGAAAGCGAGTGATGCTTTCCAAATGTTATGTTTTATGAGTGGTTATCTGAAACTTTTAATGCCAGCTTCCTATGTTTTAGCTACTGTTCTTGTTTCTAGGCCTAATGCACAAGTAAGTTAGATTCAGAAATTGTGAATCACCTGGTAAGGCATTGTGGTTTAATGCGAAATAAAAATATTGCAGATAGACATAAAGCCAAACTAAAAATCCCTCAGCAAATGCAGGCAGACATCTGGTGCCTGGAAACCTTGTGATCACCCATCCCTCAAATTATTAGTATAATACTTGGCAAAATTTCATGGCCAGGAAACTATGGTTTGAGACTGGGCTCTGCCAAAGTAATTTGCAGGTTCAAACAATCTTTTGCCAACTAATCTAGGTGACAGCTTGTAGCAACAGCTTAAAACTATGTAGGGCTCCTGCCAGCATTTTGTGCTCTTGCTGCAGAGGAGTGTTTCCAAAGAGGCAGGCTTAGCCAAGCAACAAGACAGTCACTCATCAGTTTAGCATCAATTAAGCTCAACCTTCAGATTAGCTTCTCTGACCCATTCTTGTCCTAATGCCAGTCAATACCCTCTCTTCCATCCAGATAAATCTTTAACGAACCAGTCTACAGATAGAAATGGGGCAAAAAAAGAAACTTCGGGCTGGTGATCTGCATAACAGAAGACAGACATGGGAACCATTTCTCTGTTTTGCCTTTCCTTACAAATTGACAGCTTCCAGCCCAGCTTTCTCTGCATCATCTGCAGAACATTCCTCCACCCAAGACTCCTCCTCTAAAGGACTTAGAGTTAGCTATTATTTTCTGCATATAGAATCATAGAATCGTTTAGGTTGGAAAAGACCTTTAAGATCATCCAGTCCAACCATTAACCTACATTACCAAGTCCACACTAAACCAATCAAGGGTAGACTAGACTAAACCATGTCTCCAAGTGCTACATCTACCCGTTTTTTAAACACTTCCAGGGATGGGGACTCCACCACCTCTCTGGGCAGCCTGGTCCAATGCTTGACTACCCTTTCCGTAAAGAAATTTTTCCTAATTTCCAACCTAAACCTCCCCTGGCGCAGCTTAAGCCCATTTCCTCTCGTCCTATCACTAACTACATGGGAGAAGAGACCAACACCCACCTCACTACAACCTCCTTTCAGGTAGCTGTAGAGAATGATAAGGTCTCCCCTCAGCCTCCTCTTCTCCAGGCTAAACAATCCCAGTTCCCTCAGCTGCTCCTCATAAGACCTGTGCTCCAGACCCTTCACCAGCTTTGTTGCCCTTCTCTGAACACCTCAATATCTTTTTTGTATTGAGGGGCCCAAAACTGGACACAGTATTCCAGGTGCGGCCTCACCAGCGCCGAGTACAGGGGCACAATCACCTCCCTGCTCCTGCTGGCCATATGAATGATATAGTAAAGCAAGCACCCTTTCCCACTCATAGCCTATTACATGATTGTTTTCTAGAAGTATCACCTTCCTTCCTTTTTCCTTTCTGTAAAATTTACCAAATCACAAGAAAATAGAAGTAGCTTTAAGATCAAAACTGCATGTTTTATCTTGAGAAGGTACAAACCAATTTACCTAAGTACCAAGCTCTTCTCTACTGTCTCACAATGTTTCCAGTAACACTGGAAGAACCGCTCCCAGCATTAGAGGAAACTTCCTACCTCATATAGTTCTCCAATCCTTTGAGAAAGCTTGCTTGACTCTTTTTTTCTTTTTCTTTTTTTTTTTAACAGCATAGCCCCCCATCAGCCAGGAATGAGAAAAGACTGTCAGCTCGCCTAGTAACTGAGTCTTAGTATTCTTCAGTTTTCCACAGCAAATACATCCAATGGTATAACAAGACAGCTGGCTCTAAAAGAAATAAAAGTTAATTAGAAATAACCATTTTGATTCTAGAGAGTTAACTAGTGCCAGGAGTTTTTCCACACCCAGTAGAACTGAAAGGGGGTTTTTGTTTGCTCAGGAAACCTAGATTTCGAGTAAATGGCCCCTCCAAATGATCTTTTTAATCCACACATTGAGAACAGAAGCACTAAGAATAAAGATTTTTTTTTTGTTTTGTTTTGACAGCAAGTTGGGTTGGTCTGCTGGGAATCCTGAAAACATCGCAATTTTCTTTCTTTTCTCAAAAAAAAAAAAAAATCTTTCCCTTGATAACACATTCTCTGATATAAAGCTTTGGTACAGAAAATCTATATGACTGAGTACTTGCACAAAGGCAGCGGCAGTTAAGAATACCTTTGAATAGGACAAGAAGCAGCAGCAAGTAGGGAAGCAAAAAAAGGAGTGCATTTTGGCTCCGTATGACATGTTCTTTGCAGAACACAGAAACTACTGCAGTGAAGACCTTTAAAACTGGAGAAAACATGACAAAACAGATAACAAACAGAGGGGAGTGGCCATTTACATGATGCCAGCAGGAGCAGAGAGAAGCGGCCACAATGACCAACAAGAGTCCGCAGTGCAGTACTGTCAGACCTGTGGAGTGGGGGAATGACGGAGGGAGACGTTTACCTGTTTCTTTGATAGGAAAACTGGGGTAGGGACAGAGAAAAGCAAGGATCACATCATGCTTTCCTTCTAGCAAGCACCTTAGAAATAAAGCAATAGGTATTAAGGCAGACTTGTGCATACCTGCAGCCTGCGATATGGTTTTAGCAAACAAACGTATCTTTTCATGGTCTGCTCTAGAACCGCTTTACATAGGAAACAGTAATGCAACCCTCATTTAAAGGTGGAGAAAGCAGATGAGGAAAGATAAGATGATGGAGCTAGCATTACACAGGCACAACCAAAATAAGTCAAGTGTTGTAACAGCCTGAAGAGCTTCCCACTCCACTCCTTCATCAAGTAATGAAGTGCAGTGCAGAGCATTTAGCAATCTGAAATTAGAAAGCTTTTTTTCTTTCATTGTAAGCTGAGGAAAGACACGTAAAAGAAAATTGCAGTCAGGGGAGTTTCAAGAGTGCGCTTTTTTTTTGTGTTGGTGGTGGTGTTGCTGTTGTTTTTCAATTAAAATAGTACCAAAAAA